GATATGTTCGAAGATATTTGCACATTGTTATTATCGTGTTCATTGTGTTGAACACTCAATAAACGTGTTTAAGGCATATAAATTGGTGCGGTTTAAAGATAGGTCATGTATGAGCTGATTTATCTACGGTTTATGCTTAAAGGTTCACCTTATTTTAGAAAGAAACGTATTGTTTAAACGACTCCTTTTTAAGGTTTGTTTTTTGTGCAGTTGTATATAACTTTTGAGTACAATGTTTTCATTTTGATAATTTATTCGAAAACACATAACATAATATCACGCCTTTTATCCTCGAAGGGGTAGGCAAAGGTGCACATTACGGCACTTAATGCAACTGAACAATGTAACACACACTTTTCACTATTTATGTTATGAGTCCCATGTAATAGGGGGTGAGCCTATTGCCATACACCGGGCACAATTCCAGACTCCGTGCTAGTACTGAGATTTAAAAAAAACTTAGTAATACTTTGCCCAGCCCGGGAATCGAACCCGAGACCCCTTGCCTGGCAGTCGCACTTGTGACCAATCGGCCAATGAGGTAAGAACTAAGATTATGTTCGATAATTACTGCATAATAATAATTGGATCCTTAGGGTAATATGGTATACAATTTGATTATAAATTGTGGTAATGAACTGATGCAAAATCAGATAATAAAAATATCAGCCACAATCATAACAATACATTGTAGAATTAAAAAATGACACCACTATCAGTAAAATCCTTCGTGTGATCTATGGTTAATGGAAATATATTAAAAACTTATTTATATCCTTTAAACACGAGATGTATCTTTAAATTACACTAATATAGACGCGGAAATAAATATAAGAAAATGAAATAAAAAACAAGACGAAGTGTTTCTGTCAATGACAATTTGTATTGGAATGAAGGACGTAAGTATTTATAACAAGCTTTTGACAGCGGTTTTTTTTCAGAAAATTTAAAATAGTATTTTGAAACTACTCTACCTATTACATGGGACTCATAACATAAACAGTGAAAAGTGGGTGTTACATTGTACAGTGGCATAATGTGCACCTCTACCTACCCCTTCGGGGATAAAAGGCGTGATGTTATGTTATGTTGAAACTACTCTCAACATTTTGTATGATATAGTTTCTAACGATACAACTAGCACCATCTATCGCTACGGAGCCTATCTAACTATCCATCAAACCTTTCACTGAATCTAATCACGCCATCTATTAGTTATACAAGAAACTATGTACTATAAAAAAATGAATGTGGAGATCGTTCTTCAACGTTTCTATGATATTTATCAAAAAATTTAATGTATTTATACAACCGTACTATAATTTTAAAAGATTACCGATAAAAATAAAATTATGTCGACTGTGTGCGATAAAAATAATTTCATAATAGGTTAAGAAAGACTTTTTCTTAAATTTAATCAAAGTCGTGTTTTACAAAACTTAATAGTTAAAATAATTCGATCACCTTATGTTTAGTACAATGACCGTGCCTACCCTTTTGAGAATTTAATCTTATTAACTTTTTTGGCGTTTTCAGTGTTATCAAAGCATTGACATGAAAAGGTAGTGAAAACAGTCATACCTATTGTATACTTGGCAAAGACTAATAAAAACACCATTGAGCCGTAAAATGCTATTTGTATTCTTTATTTCAGATGATACATGATGACTGTCAAAACAAATCAAGGCTCAGGATTAATTGTAAGGATATTCACTGCACTTTTACTAAAAGACAAAAAAAGATGATAGATACGCCATGGGGTACCAAGAGTGACCGACGCTAAGAAGATTTGTTTTCAGCAATTTTATATAAACAGTCAAAGCCTTAAGTGAATAACTTAATATGAGTATTCGTTCAATGGAATTAACTTCTATCGGTACACAAAAGTCACGAAGGACTTAACGGGTTGCTAGGGCTCCGGCTTGAAGAGCAGAAGTAGGAACAGAGTGGTTTTTATTTAGTAAGAGTATAGCACTCCCTCTTGTCTCACCTAAGATGGGAGAAGTCAAAGTTAAAGAAAAGAAAATTACCTCACTTCTGAAAATGACTTAAAATAATATGTTTAGTATACCTACATGTGTTGAAAGTAATTTTTGCATTCCTAAAATAGCTTAACTATAATAACAGAGGTTAATAAATCCACTCTCTACCTATTTACGCATATAATGAGCGCTAGTGTAACATAATTGTTGATTTCGTGCGCATCATGCTAATATTGCTTTCATGCGCGTGCGGACTAGAAAGTGATCTCAGAAGCAAATGGTTTCACTTTATCACAGATTTTATGACAGATATTTTTAGTAATTAGGCAAAAATGTGCTTTAGTTTAATTACATTTGAGTACAATTTTAAGTGTAGTCATTTGAGATGATATTTATTTTATGATTCGTTGTTTGATTTTTATATCATTTTTGGTGCGTGTTGCTGTATTTGTTTTATAGAAATGTTTTAATTACCGACTCAAACAATGTACTAATTAATATTTGTACGTGTTGCATAGATCTTTATAATAAAACAGTGATACGTTAATCAAAAGATAAGACAAAAATATACCACTATCTTATTCTGTCTTTTTGATTTACACCATTCAAGCTCTTTCGCATTTTTCGAGACAAATCTAAATGGAACTTCCATTCAGGACTAGTAGAAGAATTTCATGTAGGTACCAATTTGTATTATTTGTACTTTAGTTTTACTTTAATTAAATTTTACATTAAAAAGCACTTTTGCCATTACTCCTCGGCATACCAGGATCGCGTGAAGATATTTTATTCGCCTCAACATTTAGTTCTGATAAAAAGTATTTACTCTTAGTCGATTGTAAAAAAAGATAGATCGTGTCGTCTATTCAAAACGTTTTTTTAAGTGTTTACTTCGATCTCTCTGAATTTACTAGGTCGTGTTGTGCGTGAATCTTTTTGTCATTTTGCTGAAATAACAAAAAGGCCTCAATGATGAAGTAGCTGGCTTGGAATTGTTATTAACTTGGTGATTTTCAGGTGAAGATTGATACAGTAGGATTTTCTCCTGTGTCGTGGATGCGTTTCCTAACATACAAGTTCACATACACATGACATCACACCCAGACACAAAGAGATATTCCGTGCGGGGATCGATCCCATGACATGTTGCGTGGCAGCCAATTGACCAGCTACCGCGCCAACCGTGCCGTCAAGATTGGGAAAGGTGTACAAGTTAAATTCTGCATTTGGTCACCAACTGTAAGCGATGATGGAGCCAATGATAAGGCACTCCAGCGTTGAAACAACCTATCTATTCATTCAGGACTTAAAGACATCCAAGTAACACACTTCGGGATTGCAGATGTTTTCAAAAAAGAAATAAAAGTGTATCAAAGATACGTCTTGAAATAAAATACATCTATCAATAAACTATTTTCAAGAAAAGTAACTAGCAAAGATCTGTTATCAAATTATCGCAATGAATTGTTACAAAGACAATTTCCTTTATTAGGATATTCATTAAGACGTTGGCGGAAGGCGTCGGCGCGTGTTCTCCCGTAATTAACTAAACTAAATACAATAAAAGCATGCATTCATGGATATCCTACGCAAGGATCGCCACAATGGTCGTAAAGTGGAAGTGAAGTATGTAACATTTTATTGGTATTAAATATCTTTATAGTAGCCTTATTTTTTTTAAGGGCGGAAATTCATCTAATTTTTTCTCCCACCTGGGTGAGGCGGGAGGGAGTGTCAGACTCTTACTGACTAAAAACCACCCCGTTCCTACTCCTGCACTTCGAGCCGGAGCCTCGGTAACCCATTAGGTTCTCCGCGACAAGTAACCATATTACTTATTGCTTCCATGTCACCTAGAATACTTCAGATAATGACGTAATTGCCTCTACGTTATCTAAAATTCTTAATGTAATGTGTGAAAATGTTGCAGGCGCAACGTCTTTTAATCACCAAAGTGTTTCATAAGTTATTTTATGAGTTCCATATAACTGGTGATGAATCTAATGTTATACACCGGGTCTAATCCAAATTACGAGACATTACTAACTATAAGTTTACAACTGAAATTCAAAATATCCTTCAAAATTCTTCACCCAACCGAGTTATACCATCTCATGACAAATTTAAGCACAAATCCTTCACTTCAAAATCACATCAAAATTAACTGTCACCGACGCTAACGAGTTTCATCGCAACTAACAAGAAATACAATTTATTACGCAGGACATAATGTAATAAACCTTCAAAATGGAGATGTGCAGGACAGGGTTTGATTAATGTGGCTTCGGGAATGTTCTATCAGATTGCCTATGATTTAATGGAGCAACCAGGACGCGGAGCTTGTACAGGAATCAAGTATGACTTGAATTATGTTGGGGGTAGCGTTATGGTGTTCAATGTTCATATTCATCATATGTATTAGAAATGCGGATGTGAATTTGTATATTCAGTTTTTTATTTGTTGCTCATGAAGGGTTAAACGTCTGAGTGTAAGATTTTTGTGTTACTTAATTATGACTGTTCCAAATGCTATCTGGAATGCTAGAAGGTGTGGACGGGCTCCATACAAAATTAACCTTTATTTAAATGTACATTCCTGCAGATATGGTTAGGTCTTTTTCAGTTATCAATAGAGACTGATTTGAACATGGTATATATTTTTTATTATATTTGATGGGTCGAGGTTTGACTGTTTGCTAAAATTGGTATTAGCAAACTTTACTGACATTGTCCTTTTTAAAAAAAATATTCCTATCGCATAACTATCGCATCCTATTTCTTAAACCCAAATAGAACAAATAAAAACAAAATCCAAGATGACTCAAATCCTATACATGTAATAAAAAGCCTCATTTATTATAGAATGAACGCACCCTTTTAGGCTTTCGTTTATGTCCTGGGCTAAATCTAGATCCCACGTACGTATAGGTCCAGTACTTGTTTTCGTTCTCCGACACTATATAAGCTAGGTTTTGCTCTTAGCCCTGACATTGCCCAGTGCATTCACTATCAGTAAGGATGAAAATAATAAGTCTTGCTATATTTATTTGTGTGGTCTGTGGGAAGGGCGACGCGGGCGCGAAGGATGGGCGGCAACAACGATTGCTATGTAAGTCTATCTGAACGTAGTATCTAATGAAGATAGAAGATGGAATACCAAAATTAATTAATTATCTCCTTATTTTTCTAATCTGCATGAATTATTCTTTTTCCTAATTGTTCTTTCTCCACGGATAAGTGAGCCTTATGCTCATTAGCATTACAGTCTATTTTGTTTAATGGTTTTTTTATAGTATTTAATATCTCATCTAATGTCAGTTTTACATTACAATTGTCGTACTGTGTACGTTGGTAAAGTAGTACAGCAATCGACACTGTTAGGCATGTGTCACGGGTACTATGTACCTATGATCTATTGTCATTATCAATTCACATTTCAGTACTATTCAGTCTGGATTTACCGTTTAACACCCATGAGAGCAAAATTATTATGATAGGGTACCTAGTGTTAATTTTTATCGTGAAGTTAATACCTAATAGTAGTGTATCACAATACAATGAAACACAAAACTTTAGATTTTAAAGTAACTTTTATGATCAGATAACTTCGTTTATTGCGTTTGCACAGCACTATTTTAAAACCAAATAATATGTCATTCAGATGAGATAGAGCATAAAATCCTATATTTCTGTGAGCTTTTTCAGGGTTTAATAAAGGTTGTGGTATGTTTTGTAACTGTAAAATAATTGGGTGACAATATAATTGATTTTATTACCAACTTAATTTTAGTATTACTCTAGCAATTTTTTAGGAAATATGGATGTTGTTTGACGCTAAAAAAACGTGACGTCACAATACACAATCTCGTAGGTACAAAATTCGTAGAAAACTGTCATTTTTGACAGTTCAAAATAAGGATTGAATTTGATTAGTTGGCAAGTACCCAATTGAAAGTAGGTAGTACCCGGATCCTTGACTTTACAAAACTGATGCCGCCCTACGATAATATTTAACTGACATTTAAAACATAAATATGCATATATTTATATGTCTATAAATGTTATTGTCACCTGCTTTATTTCAATTACCATGCAGCTCGGTCCACATAATAATTTTTTGTAATAAAACGACTTTAAACGGATTATGTAGAAAACTACTGAGTGAATAACCTGTTGATATTTTTATAATATTGTTGAAGTAATAAGGGATTATATCAGGAAATTATTTCTTTTATAAACTGTTCATACATGTTTGTTTATTATTTTATCTGGATCTCCTTGGATCTTTCTGTTTATACGTTGTTAGTGATTGACAATTTTGAAAAAGTTTTTGACAGACTTTAAAACAATTTATTTCATGCGAGATAAATAAATGTGAGGTTCTAGCAATTTGCAAGTTCGAAACTTAGATAAAAAAATATTCATCATCACATAAAGGTCTCTTTAACATTAAACTAAAGTTAAGTTAATTTTCAGTCTCTGTCTGCTGCTAACCTAACTTTCATGCCTTTAATCTGCAAAATTATTATCACTTGCATTACATTTGCACATTGCATTAGCAGATTTCACACTTAATGCATTCAAATTATATATGTAAAAAGTATCAAATGAATAACAAGATAATCACTAATAATTTTAACTACGTCTAAAAAACCGACTTCGACCCCCTTCTTCCTGAGGTCGGTTAATTAATGAACTAAAACCTTCTCTTAAGTGTAACAAACACTTTTCTGAATTCCGCATCAAAAATTGCGCACAAACATACATACAGGTCAAACCGAACCTCTTTCTGTTTTGAGGTCGGTTAAAAAACATTGATTGTCAGTGCTCGACAAAGGTCTCTTTTACATTAAGCCAAAGTTAAACTGTCAAACACCAAGCGGTCACCGGTGACCACAACCTATTGTTCTTTAATTGTGTCTATAACTACGGTACTCGACGAGTTAATCTTCAGCTCTTCGCATCCAGTTCGTACCCGCTACTATCTAACACACATGCTTCTATAATTTTCGAAATTATTAACACCACTTTCCTTATATTTTGAACATTGAATTAGTAGATTTCACACCTAACACATTAAAACAATACCGCAAATTATAAAAGGTTTTAATCGAGTGAATAATCAATACACTAATTACCTATTACATCCGATGATAACTTGAACATGAGTCATTACCTACGGTCTAATTACAAATGTTCAAGTTATAAATAAAACAGTAATCATCAGGATGTTAGCTTTCATGAGTTTCACTTTCAATCAAACACAAATCATTGTTGAAGTTTAGGAAAAACAGATTTTAACAAAAACGTACTTTACTCTTGGCGACTCGGCAGTATTATGAAAAACCACATTTGAGTTACCACAAGAGTTTATTTTATTATTAAAGTTAGTTATGTTTAAACACTTTTAACTTAAGTTTATTGGCAAGTAATACAGAATTAAGTGTCCTGGCCTACACTCACATGCGCAGTTGCCCTAATGAAAGACTATGTCGCTGTAGATCAGGAATTTGGGCTGAAAACCAACAACTTGGGCTGGATCCGAAGATCACAATTATATCAGCACCTGAGTCGACACTAAAACTGCAACGAATTCAGGAAAATAATAAGTATTTATAGCAAATAATTATTGATGTAGAATTTTGTTTGACGTAAATGAATGCAGTTTTAATATATAAGTACCTAGGCAGTTTTACAATACGGCAAGACTGCAAGTCAGCGATATAGTAAGCATTATTATTATTAAGGTTTTAACAGTACACAGAGATACGTCCTTTTTTAGTTCACAAGAAATGAGAAAATAAATAGTTATAACATAATACTTTACATAATGTTATGTTATATTTAATGTCACATCCCATCACAACAACAGCCTATAAGTAGCCACTGACTAAGGGCTTCTTCTAACATGGAGAAGGTTTGAGCATTAATCACCATGCTTGCTCAATGTGGGTTGGCGATTTTAAACTTATAATTAGAAATTATAAGCCCAGGCGTACTCGTGGTGTTTTCCTTCAGCGTTTGTCTGTGGCGTCTAAATAATCTTAGTAAGTACATATAACTCGAAAAAATTCACATTGTTCTTGCCGTTGGTAGGTTACGAACTCGCACCCTCGTGCATGAGAAGCAGACGTCTTAAGCCTTCGGGCCAATACGACATTTTAATGTAATTATTCGTAATTGAGGACGAGCCAATTGCCATATCAAACTCGAAAACTACAAAAACGATTTGCCCTTCCTAATTACCACACCCAGGTTCCCTTGTTTGGCATTAGTATGTACAACTCCTATCCAAACTAAAATTAAAAACTAAACTAAAATAAAAATAAAAAATTATTATTAGTATAATAAAAGTAATTTCAGGAAACTGAAACCATTTTAAGCTACCTTTATATTATCAAAAGATTACCGGCTAAATCCCCAGTATCCTTTTACTCAATAGACAATCTAGGCGGCCGCGGCTATCCTTTCATCTTTCTATTACAGCAGACGTGACAGGCAGTAAGGATATCACATAATGGCTGCCCGGTCATTGAACTCGGACGATAACCTTTGCTTCAGAATAATGCAACACTTTATAGTTATAAAGTGAATGTACGTTAATTATCATGTGTGAGTTTTAAAACACATGTACACTGTAATTCGATATTTAAAATTGTGTATCTGATTGGTCTATAGCCTAACTTTTTTGTTTTATTTTATAACAATTTGCATGGCATGCATGCATTGGCAATTTGTGGCGAGTTCGGATTAAAAAGAAGTTTTTATTCAGAGACCATTTAGTTTATTAGGAATTGGGTATTTTCCTGGGTAAAAAATAAATTATTTTGATTTTTCAAACCAATGAAATATTCAAAAATAATTACAATTTCATTCATATATTTGACGATATACTTAATTTTCGATTTATTCTAGCAATTTTTTCAGAAATAAGTGTGCTATTTGACTTGAAAATATGATGTCGTCATAAGTTAGTTTTTAGTACAAAATTCATAGAATAATATCGTTTTTGACGTTTCGATAAAAGTATTGAATTTGATTAGTTGTAAAATACCGTATTGGTCCGACATTCACAGTGATAGCATGGAATAAAATTAGGAATTGCATCCGATCATCGATATCTTAAGTTTTCCACGCATCCGATGTAGGTAAAGTACTTTGCTAAAAAAGCATGTACTACCCAGCACAGTATTCATTTTTGTAAACTGTAACTAATAAATCTTATAACACATACAATTTTGTATTACTGTCTTGTCGCAAAAATGATCCCTACACCTAAGTATTTTATAGTCTTATTTCAAAAAACAAACCTTTAAAGTAAGTACTAACAGGCTGTCGGAACTTCGCGGTTATTTATTAGTGCGTGCACTCTCGTGGAATTTATAGCCGTGCTCAGTTTGAGAAGAGCCATACATCTTGTGGTCCTTTATTTTGTAGTCGCGTTAAGGAGGATTCATACGTCGTCGGTCTCGTCGCGGAGTCGTGTCGTGTTGCCGCCGTCCCTTTATATGTAAATGTCTTTAATACTGTCGATATTTGTCCAATTGTATGGGTGGTTTAAATAGTTGTATTTAGGTAGCTAGTGGATTTATTATTGTGTTTCAATAAGGCGTTTCTTACATGTAATCGTTTATTCAATCAATCATAAGGACATACCAAATTCTTATTTCTTTAATCTTACTAGACTGCCTCGTTGATCGAGTGGTCGCAAGTGCGACTGCCGGGCAAGGGGTCTCGGGTTCGATTCCCGGGTCGGGCAAAGTACTACTGGGTTTTAAAAAAAATCTCAGTGGTGAAGTCTGGAACTGTGCCCAGTATATGGCAATAGGCTCACTATTACATGGGACTCATAACATAAATAGTGAAGAGTGGGTGTTACATTGTACAGTGGCATTAAGTGACGTAACGTGCACCTCTGCCTAACCATTCAGGGAGAAAAGGCGTGATGCTATGTTGTGTTATTTCGTTGGTATATAGTTCATCATTAACAGTGCTTGTCTTTTATCTACATAGAAACTGGAGTTCTCCTAAAACCATAATAAGTTATCGTATTGTAGCACTCTATTCAGCTTTAGGAGCTTAACTATGATGGCTTGCCAAATATAGGGACTATAGCAAAATTTCCTTATTAAGAAACCCTTTGTTCAGTAGACATACCTATTTCAACGAATGACAATAATGATGATTATGGCAAATGCGCCGCACGATGATAATCGATGTCACCATTCCCCATGACGAGAACCTCGTGAAAGCTGAGAAATATAAAGAAATAAAATATCTAGACTTAGCTCACGAGGTTGTCGACATGTGGAGTGTGGACTCGGCTATCATTGTGCCGATAGTCGTGTCGGCTAATGGGTTAATCCCTAAAAGCCTCGACATCTATCTTAGGAGGCTGGCGTTAGGAGGATGCGTCAAGGGCCTAATACAGAAGGCAGTTCTCCTAGAAACGTCACGCATCGTGAGGAGATTTCTGTCTCTTGAGAATCCTATATTACCACCAGTATCTTAGACCATGTTCCCACTAATAATCGGCTCCTATTTTCATATTTTTAAAATATTTTTTTTAGTATTTTTAAAGTGTAACTTATGAAAATAATTATAACTACTTTTAAAGTCTTGTCTTGTCGTTATGTTTTCAGTTTACGACGAAGATGGCAACTTAGTGAAAACATATCCCAACCCCTACCCAAACAACCCATTTCTACAGAACTTGAGGCTCAACGCTGGCCACTGGCCGTACTACGGAAGCTTCTTGAACCCATTCTTTGGTTTTATTAAAGTGAGTAACATGTTCATTAGTTAATCTATTGTTTGGAAAGAGAAAATGGCTTTATATTTTTTATATTCAGACTGAGTGCCTTGGCCTTGGCCTTGGCCGAATAGTTGCAAGTGCGACTGCCGGGCAAGACATCTCGAGTTCGGGTCCCGCGTAGGGGTCGGTCTGAGTTTAAAAAAAAATCCTGGTCGTAGCACGAAGTTTGAAATCGTGCCCAGTATATGGCAATAGGCTCACCCCCTATTACATGGAACTCATAATATAAATAGTGAAAAGTGAGTGTTACATTGGATAGTGGCATTAACTGCCGTTATATTGTGCACCTCTGCCAACCCTTTGAGGGTAATAGACGTGATGTTATGTTATTCATTATATTCTTGACCAATAGGCTAGCTGGAACTTGGGTCTGCACAACAATCATACGATATTGTGTGATTAAAATAATATTATCTCCTTTCTCCATTCCTGTTCCTCCTATTTAAAGATTTTAACTTTCTTATTCAATTTATTGGAAATACTTACTTATTAATTAACCATTTCCATAGGACTTCGGCAACATATTCTCCCTAACAATTCCAGTATCAAATGAGGTGATAAAACAAATGCAGAGAGACCCTGCGTACCACAACAAGCTGATGCTCACTCACACTCCAGACCCGGTGATTGAGCCAAACCCTCTCTGTGAGGGCAAGAGAGCACAGGTTCCCTCACCGAAACTCTGTAACAACTACCTTAATTGCTGGGATGGATGGGCAGTGGAGCAGGAATGCCCTCTTGGACTGCTGTTCTCTAATCAAGGATACTGTGACTATTCTGATAATGTGAACTGCGAGAGCAGGAAATTACGTAAGTATATTCATATTTCATGATTTTCACATAGCCTTACACAGGCAATGCACTCGAGATCGTGTGTAATGTTGCAGGTGTACGTAGGATAAGGTTATCCTAAGTAAGATTAACGTTTACCCGTACGGTTGCCTGTACGGTTTGATGCTAATGTTAGCAATATAAAGTGTCCTTACTGTAACGATTATCTTCTTCACTTACCTATGTATACACATTACTTGTTTTATAGGATAAGCCCTTATCTGAGGAGGCGGATCACCTAATGGTAAACAATCAGTTTTGTCCATGGACACCTGGAACACCACAAGCGTTACAATTACGTTACCGGCCATTTGTGGATTAGAAATTTGATTATTGTTGGGGATTCAGGGATTAGGGAGATTGGGAAACGAAAAAGGATAATTGGACCTCTGGTAACTTCACTCACATGACGAAACACAACGCAAGGGTTGTTTCGCGTCGGTTTTCTGTACCACTCCAGTCAAGCCGGCCTATTCGTGCCGAAGCATGGGTCTCCCACACTTAGAAATTACTTTCTTTCACTTATGCATGTTTAAAAAGAAATGTGTATGGTATGTATGGTCGTATGGACTATAGATAGAATATACAACTGTTTAAAATTCCGCTATCAAAACGTACTTTAGACATTTTACCTTCAGAAATACAGAAGTTTTTTCCCGGTAGTGGTTCACTGACCTATTGAGTAGTAGACAGTAACAGGTCAATTCTTACATCTTCAACTGCTGATGTAAGAGATGTCTAAGAATCTTGTTACATCAGTATCATAAATTCTTTGTTTAGCTGTCGCAAAATCCTGAAGACAACCATTGAATTCGGTATCTTAAATACTCACCTTTACAATCGCGCATCTTCAGAATTGTGAGATTATCTCTATTGAGGTATGCGGCTTTTATTAACTTCGTCAGTGCATCTATTAAGGATCTGTTAATTTTCCCCTCATTGGAGAATAAGTATCTAATATTACGACGAGCTTTAATGTTATTTTATCTTGGGCAAGACTGCTTTGCTGGCTGAGTGGTCGCAAGTGCGACTGCTAGGCAAGGGGTCTAGGGTTCGATTCCCGGATCAGGCAATGTATTACTAGGTTTTTACGAAATCTCAGTAGTAGCACGGAATCTGGAATTGTGCCTGGTAATATGGCAATACGCTCATCCTTTATAACATGGGACTCGTAACATAAATAATGAAAAGTGGGTTTACATTGCACAGTGGTATTAAGTGCTGTAATGTGCACCTTAGCCTACCCCTTCCTCCCATCTATGATATGTATCTTGGGTAGATTTACACAAGGTGAGTCCCAAATATTCGTATGAGAATATATGTAGAGGTATTATGACTTCAAATCCATTTACATTGGCTTTTTGGGTCTGCGCTGACTTGCATCGATTTTAGAATCAGTTACTGACCCTGTGTAACTAAAGACGGCTTTAGTTTTACACTTTAATCGAAATAACCATGATTAAGAAAAAGCTGGTCTCCTACACCAATCACATTTCAGACATGTTTACCTACACATAGGTACCTATTTATCACACACAAAAACTATTAACACATTTAGTTATGTGAACATTAGATACTTTGCCAACGGATATGTAAATATTATTATCGGTAGATGTCGTCAGACGTGGAAATGTCAGCCAAGTTATATAAAATGCTCAGTCGGGTCGTCTTCGTTACGACATCTTATACTTCTGACCCGGTAAACTGGTCACGCCTTTATAACCCCTTAATGCTCACATAGTACTTTGAACCCTATGCGCCTAAGTATAAGTGGTTTTATTGATCCAGGACTGTTTTATTTGAACCATTTTATCCTACCTTCTAATAAAAGTCGACTGCCGAATGGATGCGAATAGGAGATTCATTCGAACTCCTTTCTAGGTAATACTTAATAGATGTATTTTTTTCATAACTTATAGAAGTTATGAAAAAAAAATAAAAGATTTCAGTGATAGAAGAAACAAATACAGTTTCAATATGAACGATGAAATAATGATGAATAATAGGAAGTAATTATTTTTTGTGTAAAACTAAACAAAGATTTGTAAAAGATATAAGATTTATAAAACAATGTAGCTCTCATTACAATTAAGCGTAATTTGTATGAAATTTCCAGGCGAACAGCCCCCAACTCAACCACAATGCAAAAAGGACTTCGAAGCGTTTCGAAATGCTCTCGACTGTAACGAGTTCTTCGTTTGTGTTGGACGACAACCGGTGAAGTTTAAGTGTCCTGCTGACCTTTCATACAACCAGGTATATCCCATCCTTCATATTATAAGTACAAAAGAAAAGCGACCTTAAATCAATAAGGATAGTAGTTATAATAATTGAACTATTAACTGGTGTGGAAAAATATGATGATAAATCTTAATTTTAATTGCTTCCTTTTAGTAAAATTGTTTATGTACAGACCTACCCAATTAATTTAGTACTTTAAATTCGATTTCCAAATCGAGTTGCTCGGAATTCTCATTTATTTTCCTATCAGCAAAAATATTAATAACTTGATCGATATAAAAACAGAATATGAATATTCTAAAAGAAGTTGTATACTTACGTAAAAACGATATATATTTTTTTGTAATAAAAAGTGACGATTAATTAATTAGAATCGTGGAATTCTCCTAAACACTTGTTATTTTTACCTTCTTTTTTCAATAACAAAGTGACTCATCTCGAACTAAAAATACTACAAGCTTTTCAATATGGAAATTCTCAATGCAATATGCTCAGCTTAATATGGTTTTATTGCACTCTGCTGTATGCCTACGCAATTACTGCACAAACATTTATAATGTTTACTTTTCAACACTGTTTACTTATATGGTTAATTTTTCTATTGGAAAGCTCACTGAGTCATTAAGCATTTCATCCTCTAAATAAAATTTATCTTCATCTCCTTATTCAGTGATTTTAAGAGTAATTATAAAGTTTTTTTTTTATTTGGCTCTTACATTTTCTAGCATATGATATTTTTCTTATCGTAGCAACTTGGCGTCTGTGACTATCCAACACGAGTGGATTGTGCATCAACTGCTATCAACACTGAAGTCTTTGCTCCTCAATCAACTTCAATCGCACCAGCTGCACCAACTGCTGCACCATTTGCACCTCCTGCATCTGCTGCATCAACTGCCGCTCCACCTGCATCCTTTGCCTCACCTATTGTACCTACAGCAACATTTGCTCCACCATCAACACCCATCGTAGCTGCCGCACCTCCATCTTTAATTAAACCTGATGGAATAAAAACTGTGTTCTCTGAGAACTCCATAGTCAACACCCAAAGTGAGTCGGCTATTTTATAACTTCATTAGCACTGCCTTATTAATTTCAAACTTAAACATTTTATCGCCTATTTTCAACATCAATACAATTTACTAAGTTTTACTCAATCAAAAATTTATTACGATGTGAATGGAAAAAAGCTAATTAACGAATGTTCGAGTCTTGCCCAAATGATTCATTAAAATGTTAATAATTTTCGTTTTGTAACCTAAACATTGCGTTCAGTGCCTAATTACATTTAGAATGAACTAGTGTTGCATTTGTGTCGTTATAACAGTAATCGACTGTTATTCATCTTTTAATTAGTTACTCAATTAATTTAATTGAGTTATATAAATAATATTCTTCATATTTTACGCCAATTGTAATAAATATTTATTGGTTTTCCAGGTTGGACGTCCACCCACATAGCCATGTCTCGTCAAGACGCCATCCGCCAACTGCAGCTCGGCAACATCGCCAAAGCCGATATTTAATTACTCATTAATTGTAATTATTATAACTATAGGCTTTGCTACCTCTACTGCCATAACACCTACTTTTACATTAGTCTTGACAGGAGACAAAACAAGTCATGTACTTGTACCACTTTGACTAAAATATTGCAACACTAACAGGCCATGTTCAAATACATATCAATAAGTAGAATTGAGAAATTAATTGGTTATAAATCTAGTTCGGCCACAAGGTGTCTGCCTAGATTAATATTAATATCTTATTTAAGACTTGCTCTAACAGCAAATTGCATTTTAATTTATTGAAATTAATGATTACTTAATAAACTGTCTAATCATTTGCTCGGTTCATTATTCATTATTTTTCCTTGTCCATGACTTACAGTCTGCTTGATTTATAGTTCATAAAAGGTTAGCTACTTTGAAAATAAAAATAATATTTGTATAAAAATATGATTTATTTACAAAATATTAAAATATAAGTTCGCTTAACTTAACTTACATAAGTGTTTATGACTAAGAACATAGATTTCGACACAGCACCGACACATTGTGTTGGTACCATGTCAAGGTTTTTTGAAGATTTCCAAAAATTTGGCAACAATAATTGTTTTAGACACAAAACAGACCAAAATATTAAGTGGGCTCGATTCACTTTCGGAGTCCATGGATAAGAGATACTCGAGCGCCTCTTCAGACAGACAAAACCTTTCATGGAGCACTAGAACCACTTAGGGGAAGTGATCCCCACACAGTTGGAGTTAAAGTGAGATAATTTGATAATGAATTGATTGTCAATCATCCTGTTCGATGTTTTGCAATCAACGTGTCACTACAGCGCATACAAACCCTTACAATAATTTATGACTCTGAAGAGGCCGTTTGTTTATTTGTTTAGATCAAATGGAAGGGGTTTAGCTTCAGTCTGTCCTTCGAGCCGCTCCTTGACATTCAGAATCCCAATTTCTTCAACGCTTTGAGGTCGACGTCACCGTAGTAATCCTCGCTGTAATATTATCATTTTATGAATCAACTACTTTTGTTTTATTGTTAACTGTATGTTTGGAGATATGGTCTCTATCTCCCTTCATTGTTTTAATAGCATTATTATTGGTTTGATTTTAATGTTTAGATACTTCGTGTATTATATTATCAAATACACTTTCAGTTCCTTTAATAGAATCATCATTAATTTAATTCAATATAGAATGTCTATGTTCATGATAAATATTAAGGCAAATAAAGATAATTGTTGTATTATCTTTAGAAAACTGTGATTGAACTTTTAGAACTGACAAATGCATGTGAGGCATGTCTGATATGATTTCTTTTATGTGTTGAGAAAGTCAGAAAGACTCATGTCCTTTAAACCAAGAATAGAATTTAGAATATGATATATAATGAGTTTACTTACACAAGGGCACACCTTATAATGTATTGGTATCAACGTTAAGTAACAATTAACGTACCTGGATACCCAAGGAAGACGGTTCGCTGTTACAGTCAGTAAAATAAAATTAGACAGAAGAAAATTACAAATAGAACCAAGAAAATATTAATATTATTAGAATAGTGAATGCAATTAATGAAATAGAAAACAGTGAAGTGGAAATGTTAGGAAACGGTGCTAAAGTGCATCACTACACAGGTAATTAATACAACAGAGAGTAATTTTTATAAATTTTTGTTTATTTTATCACTAAAAATAAAACTTAAGTATTACAGTTTCTATCAAACAACAACACTCAGTCGCAGCGAAGTAATTCAGTACAATAATATATTTACAAGGTCATGGTATACAAACGGATACAATGCTTTATCGATGTCCTCGAGGATTTTAAACAGAACTACGTTGTCATAAATGCCAAACAACTCTTTTAAACGCTCGAGTTGTTTATTGTGCAAACTTTATACAGGCTCTAATAACTGGTATCGATATAATTATGTTGAAAGGACACTATAAATACTAAGGTATAATGTAAAATAATAAATATATCTATCGCTGTATGGTTTTACTAATTTCCTAACGTGCCTCAATGAAACTGTTCGAAGAAGCTACAACGAGAAGTATTTGGCAACTAGAAGTGATACATATCAACTGTAGCTCACTCACTATTAATCGAATATTTTTGAACCTGGAACACGATCTCCACACACCATGAGCAACGGGTTTTTTTTACAAAGCTAATGCATCTGTATTCAGCCAAACATGTCATATTTCAGAGGTTGCTCGTAGTGCGCGAAGAGTATTGGTTTATAGTTAACTATGTGAGTATTAAAAGGTTATAGGGTGGGGAATTTTATTTAGTTCTCCTTTTGGGGGCGGGGTTTGAGCTGCTTGGGCGTGTTGCGGGTCTGGCCGTCTTGCTGGAGGCCGGCGAGCAGCTCGCTCTTGCGGATCGTCTTCAGATCCAGATCCCCGTAGTAGTCCTCGCTGAAAATGTACGCGAACCTTACTGCCTGCCTCGTCTACTAGCTAACCTTAACTCTATGTCTTATTGCCTACCGACGGCGAGTGACTTAACATTAAACATACTCGTAAATGGCTATCTCAATTTCTAGCAACTTTTACTACACGAGTGGTAACTGGCTGCGAGAATTGTGTAATGTAATCTTGTACACAGTCGGCGTTAAAGAGTGAACCGCCTTGAAACGGCGACACGAATGATATCCGCTCGCTTTTCCAACTAGCATTATCTAACGTTTGTTTTTCTTGACCATTATGTGGTCCGGAGCTCTCGCAAAAACTTTTGAAATCGACACGTTTCTCGACCTTCGTTTAATGTGGTTACATCGTGACCGGCGCAAGCGCATCGCAGTATCGATCTGTTTACGATTGTTCGACGTTCACAGACCATGAACCGGATACAAAGATTTTGAAAGTTTTCTTGTTGCTTCAATTAGAGAACACTTTAGTTCCAAGATAAATAATGAATGATATCTTGTACAAGCGCACGTAGAACTGATAAGTTGTTGAAATAATTAAACGTACGCTATACTTTCATAAATGACAACTGGTTACGTTCGAGCGCTAAGAGTTAAAAAAAACCTCATAACTATTTCATGATTGCATGTCTGCGCCAGTCACCGGCATTCCTTTGAACATTTCCTCTTTATGAAAGGCATTGATAATTCAACCTTTGTGTTATACTCGAACAGTTACGGTTGATACGTTGTCTGTGTAAAACAACGGTCATTACCATACACACTCCGTTATGTACCGGTCGGCATTGACCACGGTCGTCTGCGCATGACACGACGGTGAGCGCACTATTTTGCTCTAAGTCATGCTAATTTCGAAGTGTCCTAAATGTCGCAAGCGTGCAAGGCTCCGAACCGCATAGTTGCGGCCAGCTATTCAGGTGGGCGAGCTTTACTACGTATCCACCTATGTCTACCTACACAACATCTGTACAATGCTGATCTATTCGTGTATAATAAAGCTTTGGCAACACATAGTGCAACCGATCTGTGTTGGCATTTGTTTCATTATTTATGTGCAAGAAGAGTTGTTAGTCACAAGGACGACATTGGTTGTGTGGAAGTGGTTACAGGGTCTTAGGGTTTGGGACACCAAGAATATCGTCATACCAGATTAATGTGTTGTGGGGATACCCATTCAATATTAGTCATTCGGTCAAGAATTTCATGATCATTAGGATATTTTCTTGGTGTCACATGATTAGAGTAGGTACCAGATGTTAATGTACCACACAAGACGCTGAACACCACAGAACCAGTATTCAACCAGTGAGTAGAAGAGTCCTATGGTGCGTTCAAGCTGCCTGTCATATGTGCTTTACTTGAACGGTGTGGATAAGACATCCGCATTCAGTCGTGCAGTTATTATTAACAAGAGTTCCTTGAAACATGAGTCATGAAAAGTTCAGCTGCATACGATGTTGAAATGCGCATGTCCTATGAATGTGGTGTGTATGCAATATGTACACGAGATTTTAGAAAGGCAACTCACCATCCGGGAACATCTTCAGGGTCTTCGCAGTTGCCGGTGCCGTCAGCATCACCGATCTTGAACACGGTACCGATGGGGCATCCGTACTCACGGGCGACTCCCTCCAAGCAGATGTAGTATTTACGGCAGTCTTCGGGGTGGGCGTGACGGCTGAAGGAGCCAGCGTTGGACACCTCACCGGGAGCGGGGCAAGAGAAACCGTTCGCTACTTCTGGGAAACACCAAACGAGGTTACGTGAGCGAGAGTGCGGAAGGCGAAACCGAAATGCAGCAGCGACAGCGGTGGTGAAGTTGAAATATAGTCACTGGAATAGTTTGTGTGCAAAGATTCCATGTGATTCAGATATAGGTACCCTGTTTACCATTTCACCAGAAATGAAATTTCATTTTATTCGTATAATATTTGCTTTAAATAATCAAACAAAAATGTTTGAGCTTGAATTGCATTTTCAAGGTTTGAAGATATGCGGCCACTAACTGTCATTTATACAAATCATCGACCACAAAACGATAGCAGCTCAACCGCAAATTAATAAGGGTGCTTTAAAGATTTTATTACTGTTTACACGTTCGAAGGTTACGTACCCTCGTTCTTGCACTCGGGGACCTGGTCAGCCCACATGCACACACGGGATTCTCTGTCGTAAGCGAGTCCAGGGCTGCACTGGTAGCGGGAAGCCTCTCCATTCCAGCAGTTCCAGAAGACGTCACATTTGGCCTCATCAGGGAAGATACCGTACAGCCTCTGGCAGTGAGGGGTTGAGATCGGAGGCTCTGTAGAACAAAACGAAATATGACGAAAACTGACTCAATAACACTTCTAATCTATCTGGCATATATGACAAAAACTCTTTGTTCGGTCAAATTAATGTTTTGTTCAATCATCCATAAATAACAGTGTAACAAAAAACTCCTGCATCAAAACATTCTTGGTTCTCCGAAATGTCACTCCGTTTTAAGGATAATTGGCTATCAATCATCGTTCAACAAAAAGCTTTCAAACTTCATTTCCATAAAAAGTCCATCAGAGTTTGGCAAAAAATCTACCTACTCGAATAAAATTTTACATAGTGGCTCTAGTTCAAGGTAAGCAAACTTGATATGTTATTTATATAAACATTTGCATAAAATTGATATTTGGATATCGGATGATGTGTAGATTATTTCGTACATTTATTATATCGATAGGTATGCCTCCATGGTGTGAATTGGCCTAGTGACATTTACGATATCCTGGTTGAGATTGGAATTCTGAATAATAATCCTTATGTCACACGTATGTGTGATTATGTTAATCCAACGACCTTGACCGTTTCCTCTAGCGAAAAAAAGATTGTTGCTAACTAGAATTCCTTTCGATTTTTATAAGACGGGTTTTCAAACTGATGACGAACAAAATCGTGTTTGGTAAAATCGAATGATGTTTTTTGTTCAAGTTGGTAGGTATTGTAGTTTCGGTCTTCATTTTTTGCTTTGAAATCGAAAACATTCTAATGGAACACTTTCGATAATGTCAAAATATTATTAGATTTTTTCTTAAAGATTCAGGTAATATGTTGTACAAAACCAAGCTTACCAAGCTGTGTCCTCTCGCCGCACTCAACGTTGTGGAGGTAGTCGCAGTTCTCAGTCAAGTATTTGGAGTCAGTAGCATCGAAGGCAAGACCGTTGCCGCAAGTCTTAAGTTCAGCCACGCCGTTGTCACACTTCCAGTACTTGTCACAAGAGATGTGGTGAGGGTAGAATCCGAAGTCATCGGGACACTTGAAGGTCTCCTGTCCGACCGCTGCAAAGAAAACATAGTAGTTGATGATAACAGAGACTATCTTTTGTTGAAAGCCAGGACAGAATAACAAGCCTGTTCATAAAGTTATGAATAATCTATAGGCCACCTTGGACTCTATTTTCAAAACTATGTATGCATAACAATTTGACAAAATGCCAATATTGGCAACAGCGGTGGAGTAACGACACATCACAATGTTTGAATTTTAATGAAATTACAAAATGTTCGCCAGGGGGTTTGCTAAATAACGATTATGGTATGCGAACGGTGTCGACACACACCGGTCTCGGGCAGGGCCGCTCTTTCTCCGAGGAACGCAAGGGGCCCTAATGAGGCAACTACTGCGCAAACTACGGCAACTGTTTAACACGTGTTGTCTTTGTTTGTTGATACCTCAGTAACCCCGTTTCCAGCAATCATAATTAGCTAAACAGCTATTACAAATCTTACACAAACATTACCGTTTGCGGTTCATTTTTGGCGCGCGGAAATATTTATTAATGGTAATTGAATGTGAGAAATGTAAGTCATTGATGTTTCACTGTTTGAATGCGGTTTAAATTACCTCAGGAGTTGTATACGTAATTTATGTTTACCGCGTTAACACCTTGTTTGCGGACGCTTCCACGTACCGAAGTTATGTCACGTTATGTCACAACATGTGTGCCACCTGTACCGGTCGACATTTGCTAGAAGAAAGCCTTCATCCGCACAATTTTGTAAGACATTACCGACATCGCCAACATCTTCCATTATTTACAAGTGCATTAACTCAACGAATCGCAAAGGGTCCGGTGTGCACCGAGTCGATTTCAAATCTTAGAAATTGGTCTAACAACTTTCGCGACCGGTTACTAACTTCCCATTTACTAGAAAACTGATACAGGATACAATGCCTACGCTAAACGCAAAGCTAAGTTTCTTTACGATACTTTCCCATATTTGTTTTACTATTATTGCCCATTAAATAGTAAATTACAAAATGTTAAAACACGCGTTGTGATGAAAACAATACTAATTGCTTTACGTAATCAATAGGAACGTATAGATATTTAGGCTGCCCTGCTCTACTGCATGCAAGAGGTGACCACACTTCAGTTCCTTATTTACCAGAAGCAATCAAGTTGTTATCGATAAGCATCGATTATCAAACTCAACAATCTGTATCGATTGGCAACATTATAAAAATAGTGATTGTCCATCGCTTTATAACTAGTTTCGATCTGTTTTTAATCGATAACCTTGAGTGGGATTGTTACTAAAAAGCGATTATACTCATCTGCATAATGGTTCGCAAACAACTTTTCTTATTAAAATCAAACGTTAAATCGAGGTGAACCAGAGTCGCATGCCTGGCATACTTGGTCGCAAGATTTGTAAGCACAGTGGTTCAAATGTGGAACGGTTTCGATATAATTGAAAATTCGGATCACCGCGTCTTTGGGTCGCGTTATGCTTGTTATACGCCAATTACATCTGCTAATTGGCAGATGACTGGGGTTTTAATCGCTCATTAGGTTTTTGGAGCGAGCGAGCATTGTAACAATGAGGTGATGATTGCACATGTCAAACATTAGTTCATTTATTGTGTTGGAACTAAGTGGATTTCACACGATGTTCGAGATTTTATTTAATTATTCTGAGGGGGTACAATCGTGCTCCTGTATAGTGTTGCAGTTTTTGCTAGTAAATGATTTCATAGTTTATAGAACTAGGATAAATTTTTTTCCTTAGAATCCGGCATTTTTCTGGCTACATCTAGTTATTCAATCGTAGTAGTACTATTAGGAGTGAGTTCCACTAGACGGGCTTTGCAATTGAAGTACTTATATTTTTACTTTTCTTTTAATTTATTCTTAAAATAACAGCTGTTATTCAAACAATTTTAACAAATAGTGACGTATTAGTGTCACCGGTAACCGGGCCACGTGTGCACTGAGCCGGGTGCGTTGCGCAATGCCCGGGCGACACCGCAGCCTGCGCACGCGCATGACATAATTATTGATCTGCCCAGTGGCGATGCTGCCTTGTCATAACGTATTATATAACAGTACTACGGACTGTGTTTTATTATGACATCATTTTTTGTTGTATTATGCACATTACACCTGTTGTATGATTTTGATATCAAAAGTAATATTGATAACATTTTCAATGAAACTTAAATAAATAAATCCCTATATTATCAACTGAGACTTAAAGTGATATAAGAATTTATCGACTATAATTGCCTACAACTACAAAAAACGAATCTCAGCGGTCGTAAAATTACGGTAGAATGTAATAAAAAAACAATTACATTGCTGTCCAACCATGTTTTCTAACCTACAATGAACCAACCAAACTTTCTGGTATTATCATAATTTTTACGTTACACATTGTGTTAAAACAATGTACAATTGTAGACATAACCATAATAAATCATGACAGTGAGAAATATGTCTACAAAAAAGGCCTATTGTGACTACTGTGCACATATTACATAAATATGACACAATTATTACAAAGGTCATGTAATACATTAAGTAATACAGTGAAAGCCACAAAAATTGACCCAGAGGCAAGAAGTGGGTGGAACTTTCGATTTCGATGCGCCTGCGCTGCGTCTGTAGTTGAGTAATCTCACTCACGCCTGACCTTTATCATGTGGGCCGTTGAATGTATCAAATAAATTAGCTCACGTTTATTTGCATACATTTAAATGTCTCATTTTCATATGAAATGATTTAGTACTAAGGTTTAATAGAAAGAAACTGAACTCTTCTGCTGGTGCCTTCAAAGTAAAATAGTCATAAATCTTATATTAAAAAAAAACAATACAAGAACCATAACCCTAAAAAAGGTCCAACATAAATAAAATACAGGCCATCAAACCAGACGTTCTAATTTGAAAAGCGAACGCGGCTCATTGGTGTTTTAAAAAGAAATGATTACTGACACATGACAGGTCTAATCTGACGTAATACGTTATTAGATAACGGCTATTGTCAGACGGTGAAAGTTCGTAAGCTCAATAGTCGTGTAATTACTATAATGGAAGTATTTTTACAGACAAGAAGCAATTATGTACAAGATATTAAACATAATCGTTTTTAATTCATATCTGACGTGGAATATAATCAGTTATATTCAATCATAATGCTTTATCTTGGATAGTTTATGCTGTAATAGCGTTTTATGGACGTTTTACTTTTTGGTTATTGTTTATTGTGTACAATTTCCACACTTACATGTCATAAAACAATTAATGGTTCTGTTTAATTGATATAATGCAATGCAATGTATTGCTTAGTTACCCTATCCTATTCTAAACTAATGAGCTATACAAATTCACGCCGTACCCAAGAGGCTGGGCGTGCGCCTGCGCAGGTGTCGTCGCGTAACCGTTACGTAACCACTAATTCTATTTCGAGCCACTCTTGCGCATCTAAAGGGTAGAGTTATAAAAGCTAGTGGCACTTGCAAAATTATATTAGCCTAATCAATGAAGACATGTTCCATCTGTAGATGTATTAAAACGAAAGATGAAGACATTTAAGTCTTTGCATACTAATGTTCCTTTAAATTAAACATAATTTCACGTGAAACCACTGACTTGCTAATTAAACAAAAACAAATAAACCATAAACACCAAAAAGGTTTCATTCAACTATAATTTTTGAAATACGAAGCCTGTACCTGGCCGAAAATGTACACGCGGACTGAGTATGGACATTATGGTGATGTCAATGGATTTAAAAAAAGAACCAACAGTACAATACATAGGGCTAACAAGACACTATTTATATCTTCGGTCGAAGGACAGACAATCACCGGCCTGTAGCTAAGTATCGAGTCGGTAAGGCTAAGTGACTCGTAGGCGATTGAAATTACAAGTAAGTACACTAAACATTTTGTTGATTTAACGCGGTGGAGAATCGAATATAATGGGTAATCGATTGTAAATATAGATAAGTTGTTAATCGATTTATTTTTATTTGTTAAATCGATTTGGAAGTTGAATTGAGATGGTTTTAAAACTATATTTGGCAGGGACGCTTAAATGAAAAACGGATAGGAATGCGGGAATGTCGATATGGGGATTATAAAATTTCTTGTTAGTATGATTTAAATTAAAGTGTAATGAAATTCATCGTTGCTTCGTCTATCGTTGGATAAAAGGTGAAGGATGATTGACAAGTTTTTTTTTAAGAACCGCGATTCATTGTATTTTAGGATGGGAACAGACAGGACACAAGGTATTGTTCAGTTAAACGTACAGCTATGAGATATCATTGTCGGCGGTGTATTTTAGCCTAAGAACATAGTTTCCGGTGCATTGTTTCGGTGCAAGATTGTTAATTATTCTACTAATTTCCGGTCAAATGACCTCTTTGGTTATTATTATTTTGATTTTTCGTAACCTTTGAGTTATCTTGACAAGTTGGGGTCGTTGGTTTTGACAATGGTTTTACCGTGTCATATGAGTTTAAAAGTTTAACTATACGGTGAGTCTATAATCTTTCATTCTTTGTAACTTGTAACAAAGAGGTGAAGGTTGAGGTTTGTTTTGTTGTTTAAACAACTTGGATTAGAATAAGATACTAATCTAGACGTCGTATTATAACATAACATCAAGCCTTTTATCCCAGAGGTGTACATTACGGCACTTATTGCCAGTGTACAATGTAACACCTATTTTCACTATTTATGTTATGAGACCCATGTAAGGGGTCTTGCAATGCATTCTGTGTAACTACTGGGTTTTTTTAATATCCAGTAATACTTTGCCCGACCCGGGAATTGAACCCGAGACCCTGCGAGTCGCACTTGCGACCACTCGGCCAACGAGACAGTCAATTATCTACATTCGTATTATCAAGAGTATAATTTACGATACTTGTTCGACATCAGAAGTACGAATACTGAAATTAACTGTTGTCTGAAGAGGATTTAAGTTCACCCTTATATGCAATACAATATATTAATATTTTTGAAAATTGCAAATTACATTGAAATATCATATCAGTTTAATAATTTAACAAATTATTCAATACGATTTAACAAACGATTTCATATTACTATGCGAAACATGCTATTATTACTCAATTGCAATTATCGCATTGTATCAGAGAGAGTAACCTAATTAAACAATTATCAGTTAATATCCATATTTAGCGAACATGCGATACACGATAGATACTTAATAGTAAAACTATTAATAACATAGCATGTTTTAATTGCAGGAGGAGGTAGGCAGAGATGGGTATGGGGCATACAATGTAACGCTCACTTTTTACTAGCTATGCTATGAGTCCCATGTAATAGGGGGTAAGCCTATTGTCATATACTGGGTATGGCTTCAGACTTTGTACTGCTACTTATAGGAATACTTAATGCTTTGCTCAACCCAGGGATCCGTAAGAATCTTAGCGGTATTCACAGTTTCAAAAACTAAAAACAACTGTAACGTAAAGCAACATTTGGTAAAAAGAATCTAATTTATTCATTCTTGTTTGTTTTTCATACCTCATTCTAATTTTACTCTGAAACACGTTACGAAAACTCCAATTAGGCAAAGCTTCTCAGACAGTATTGAGCGTCTAAAATTACCGCCTTTTGTGTATATTTATTTAAATTGTTTTTTGAAATATTACTCCCAAGGTAGTACTGACAATAGATTATGAAGGAAAGCCGTTGTTTTTGCTTGCGGCAATATTGTGTTTTCTCATCAAAGCTTAGACAGTATTTTTAAATGGCTGAAGACTTTGGAGAATGGTTTTGACGCCATTGTGATTTTTATTATCTTGGATTTACTTTTATAAACATCAATGAGTCTGTGTTACTAATTGAATTGAATTCTGAAATTTAAACTTCGTATTTTGCTGTGCCGAACAGGGTCCATAATTATGTCCTAGCTTTAAGCCAAAGTAACATCTTAAGAAACATTATGGAATGCAAATAAAGACATGAATATGGTTATTCAAATGAAAGATAATCATCAGATTATCTCATTTTCAGTCAACTGAACTATTATTATAAACCTCTTGTATTATTATATTATATTTTATCAAAATACAAACCTATTAATGTATGTTACAGATAAACGTTATAGGTTTTCTAATCATTAGATTGTGTCTATCACAGTTTATGCGCACTCAAGCAGTTGCTTGAGTAGTAGAAAATACAGTTGTATTTTCTCCGTGTTTTCATTGCTCTCGTGAAATCTGCGCACGCATAGCATGGCTCGATAATCAAATACCTTCACGCTTGCAATAATAACATTATGAATATTTGATAGCGTGGCTGACAATCATTAAAGTTAGTTTTAAGTAGTGCTAAGGTAACTCGGCCATTGCACATTTTTATTGGTATTCACTTAGATACAATATCAACTTTAATCTTTTAAGCAATTAGAAAACAAGCACGCATCGTTCAAAACTGTTCTATTTTTAATCAAAGAAAAAGTTAAAGAAAAATATCGGCGCTTGAGCAACTGATCGCGTGGTCCGTGAGAACTGGGTACGTGTTAGAAATTCTAACAATGGTGAATTCCACAAACGAGTCATAAGTAACTTCAGAGTGAAAACTTGAACATCCTTTGTAAGAACATGAGTTTTATATTAATGATACTATTTAAAACCTCTATTTAAAAAGTATTACATAAAATATATGTTTTTGTGAAAAAATCTAAATTACACTGTATGGTTATCAAGATTAATATTGTGTACCAAATATTTGATCAATATGTCGTAAGTATGAGAATAAAACCAAATATCTGATCAATATTCTGTTAGGAAGGGGATAAAGCAACTACTAAATTTGATGAAATAAATGATGATGAAAACCTTTTAAAAATGGAAATGGCTTCTATCTCAAGACATAATATTTTCTAATAAATAAAGCGCGTAATATCAAAGATGAAGTCTCTTCTTGCAATAATTTGAAAGGGTATATCTGTTACGTTATGATCTTAAGGCAGAGGTTAAATGGCAATGAAAAGTCAAGGAGGTCCTATCAAATAGTTTGTATCGAAGGAATTTGAGAGGTAACGATGACATGCAGGCTGAAAATAGGTTGATGTAATAGTATTATTTAAAAAAGATATTTTCAAATACAGAACATAAAAAGAAGAACTCAAAAAAGCTACTTTCTAAATAGGTACTATCGTCTCATTTTGAAAAAGTAACCCAAAATATCATGCCGAAAATAAAAAGATACCTACTACTAATCTTATATGTTCTAAGTCCTAAGTCTGTAATTTAAACAGCGGGTCTATTCATTCACTTATTAAACTTCAATGACAATTGATTATTATTTTTCAATTCAATTCGATTATATTATGTGCGTAGCTACTGTCACAACTCGGTGTCCTCTATTTGGTTCGAGGAAGTGAGTGCTATTCAAGTTTACGGAAGTCCATAATGTAAAGGAAGTCAGGATATTATAGGGACACTCAATTAGATGAATAATAAATTCAATTTCATTAATCGATCATTGCAGAATGCTAAATAAATAGCACCAAAAAGATTGTATACGCATTTACAATTTTACTGGCCACTTCTTTATTTTTTAAATATCGAATTCTATTTTTGAATGAAAAAAGGAAGATCATGTTTCTTGGTATACGCAAAGAAAAGTTAAGAATGACTCGATTGAATTAATTCTGGAATTCAGTAATTATGTAAACTCAGTTAACTTTAAGAACCAACTTTCGATAAATAATAATACAGTACTTTAACACGTGATACCCATTAATCCAATTCCAATGGCTTTAAGTAGTACAGATACATTATCTATGTCATAACTTGACATCAGTGGGTGTGAGAGTTGCGAAAAATGCTAATCAGTCAATTTTGATTGGGCAACACCACTATGTATAGAATAATATACCGGTAAAAGGATTGCAACATTTCTCTAAGGTCACTGAATTTCTTCGCTTAGAAACAATGATGTAACCTCTTTATGTGCAAAACATTTTATGCATCAATTGAAGTAATGCAATTTATTCATCATTGTCCATAAACGATCATCGTTTGACCGAGTGAAAGCCTCTTCAATCGAAGCTCACGATTGAAGCTTTCAAATAAATCGATACTCCAAACGACCGAGCAATAGTTTTAATAAACAATTATTATGAAAACTCGAGAAACCGCTTTCTCGTTGGATGCAGTCGATAACTGTGCACACTGTACATGTTCGCTTGAAACCCACCAGTTCTATATAACATTATATTACTCAAACTTTCTGTACTATTACGGTATGAGGTCATTGACATGTGCATAAAAACGAATAGTGCCACTAGAAATGGGGCTGATAGACGACGCAATAAGACCTAGTTCACACTATTGTGTGGCGTTATGTGATTAATTACATCAATGTATTACAAGCCCCATTGTTCCATAAAGATGTCAGAATGTCATATTACTAGATTAATTGCTGATGACATTTCGTAGTTTTGGGAAATACCAGACCTACGGTGTTTCAGAGGAGTGCACACTGGTAAGTTGCAAGTTGAACACAATTGCAATAATAAACAAGCAATAGTGATATGATCAGTCCGTGTGTCACTGGGCTAAGTCATTGTCGTTACACCACATCGCTGGCCGCAATCTATCTGTTCTCAACACTTGTTGCGCTCGCGCAGTTGCAACGCTTAAGTGTGGAAACTGTATCGATAACACTTCAACTGCTTTCGCGTTGTTACGCCAATTACATTTTTATCGATACATGAGAGTAAGCACATCTAGATAGTTCGGTCGGCACTGGACACGGGTATCGGGCGGTGAGGTCGCGGCGCACCCTAAATATTTCAAATGTTACGTACCCACGCCGAGGGCGGCTGCTAGCACTATTAAACACCGTGAATTCATGATTAAACTGTAAGTCTTTGCACAAGTGAAGTGGACACTGTAACGTTCAAGCACACACTGCGAGCGGGTGAATGGGCGGTTGAGGCTTTTATATCGGGTAGGCGTACGAGTCGCAGCGACGGTGAAAAGCGTCGCCGGCGCCCGCGCAGGCCCCGCGCGCGCCCGCCTCACTCCCGCGGGGTGCGCACCCCCGCGACACTGTCAACATTCGCACATCATCATCACTCCGCAACAACATGCTGCTCGAAATATTTACCATAGTTCTTACATTACTCGTCTCGGCACTTCTTTGACAAAAATGTGACATAGGGAAAATTGTGATCATTTTGTTGACAATTTTGTCCTACATAGGTATATTTATGAACTAAGTTAGTACTATATAGGGTTAATACAACTGAAACAGTTACTCATCATCGCACATGTTAAGCAATCGTTCGCTTGTTTTATTATTTTTATGTTCGAAGAGTATTAGGACACGATTATGTATTTCTGTAACCATATTGCCAAACCTATGTCTAAATACTTGTCTTGATCAATATGTAGAACATCTTTTATTAATGTTGAATTAATTTTGCTTGTTAAGGAATATGTGATAAATAATTCACTACAACCTTTTTGATTCTTAGATATATTAAAACTTTTAAATTGCATACGTCTGTATAGTTCCTATAGTTCTATATCAAGATTTACACTAGGTTCTACAGATGTTTTTTTTATAATATTAAATATCCTTTATCTTTAGTATGTTTTTATGGGATCAGCCGGTAAGCGAACAGCCGGATCACCTGATGGTAAGCAATCGGCGTCACCCATGGACACCTGGAACACCAGAGGCGTTACAAGTATTAGAAATTTGAACATTGTTGGGGATTAGGGACATTGGGGAAGGGGGGTAATTGGACCTCCATAATCGATACTTGTATTCTTTATCCTATTTATTTATTTAACTTTTAAAGATGAAAAGATAATAACTTTTTTTAGTGATAATTAGTTTTTATTGAGACAACCATCTTAACCCTTCCTTATAATAGTTTTGGCGTACTATTATTATTTGACACCTCCAAGAAGGTCAAAGGAAATGTACCACTTTACATTATTTACCTAAGTACATACATAATACGTGTATTTATTATTCATTAGGTAAGTAAATATTAGAATACGTTTAAAACCTATTATGTCAAAATGACTCAAGATCATGCAAGGAAACTTAAAACATCTTAGGTTTGTTTCAAATGAAATCAAATTTTATTTACTAGAAAAATGGTATATTACAGAAAGTACTATATTTTTGAGAGACATTAAACCAGGTAGGCATGCAACTCACTCCTCTGTGCATCTTGAGGTGGAGCCTGGCAAGGCAGGCCGCCACGAGTTCGGGGGCTGCGGATGAAAGTGACTCCCGCACCCTCGTACCCACGTGTGAGACGGGACACCGGAGTGGGTTTTAGTCAGTAAGAGTCTGACAGTCCCTTTCGTCCTCCCCAGGCGAGGGGGCTCCATGAGGATTTCCCACCTTGGGGTTAAAAAAAACAAATATTTAATGTCATTTTTGCTTAGGTTATAAATTAAAATGATAAATGTCATAAATTAATTATTTAATGTAATAATATCATAATATTTAATGGACCATGCTCCCTCTACTGGTCAGTTTCTATTTTTACATACATCACGCCTTTTATCCCCGAAGGGGTAGGTGTACAGTGGAACGCCCACTTTTCACTATTTATGTTATGAGTCCCATGTAATAGGGGGTGAGCCTATTGCCATTTACCGGGCACAATTCCAGACTCCGTGTTAATACTGAGATTGTTTTAATAACCAAGTAATAGTTTGCTCGACCCGGGAATCGAACCCGAGACCACTCGCCCGGCAGTTGCACTTGCGACCACTCGGCCAATGAGGCAGGCAGTTTATTTATTTGTATATAATACATATTATGGTAATATATGGAATTATACATATATAGGTATATGGTAATCAATAATAAATAATAATGAAATTGTAATTTTAAATTAGAATGCCTATACCAATAGCCAATTATTTTTTTTGTACCTTCTTATCCATAACCAGCCTATGTTTTATGTCAGAGGTCATCCAATCATAGTCGTACATCCTTTTATATACAATTTTTACGACTGATTATATTATGATATTGTTAACAATAGGGGCTCGTGCTATATTTGAAACATAATATTATAGATTATACTTAGGTATAGGATAACATCTTTGTTTCTAGATGTGTTATTAAAACAGATATTCTCCGAGTGTCCTATTAGTTACAAGGAAAATACTAAGTTAATTCATGTTATACGAATGACATAATTATGTGCCTAATTAATTGCTCTGTGTCTAAAAGAGATGAAAAAATTAGACATTTTTCCATAGTAATGATTTTGATATGTATTTAAAAAAACATGTTTTTAATAATTTGATAATGAAACTATGTTTTTAAGTGGACCTTTAATGTCTTAAATAAATGATTATTATTTTTATACTGTAACTTTCGTGAGACATACTAAAAATAATTATTATGTTTTCGGCTTACTCACGTAACTGTTTGAGACTCATGTTCATGGCTCATGTTCATGAGCAGCATTCAGTGACCCGCGAATAAATATGACCCTCCAGCATGGCTTGAAACTAGTCGAGCTCCTTGTCAAACAGAGAATTGAAAAAGCCGAAAACATAATAATGATTATTATTATTAATGGACTCCCTAGTATTTTCTATTTGATGCATTTTTACAAAATCAAACTTACGGAACACAAAAATATATTCCGTGTGGGTATCAAACCCGTTACACATTGCCCAGTTATAAGGCCACCGTAGGAGTAACATCTATACACAACTTTTCTTTTTTTTTCATTGTTTACTATTTTAGTGACTTCTCAATTATCATCATCAATTCCGTCAGACCACCCAACCGTATCATGTAAATACAACAATTAAAACGATACAAAATCTAGACAAAGTCATAAACAAAAGCTAGTACTCATAGCTCACATAGTAGATATAGTAAAACAATAGTTTGTAATTTTACAGACGACTGATAACGAAGGTCAGGTCGCAAGGTTCGGAGACAAGCATCTCTCATTGAACTCCATACGTATATAAATTACCGAGATTTTGTATTTTCATTCAGTTGTACCGTAAAATGGAGTGGATAGGGATTGAGAGGTGAAATAAGATAGAAGAGGCGTGAATAAATATTGGACATATCTTCACAGTATCGATTCGCTCCTTTCCTGTCCCTAGTATAAAGAGACGTAGTAATGATTTTGATATGTATGTTTTGGAAAAAACTATGTTTTAATGGACACCCTAGTATTTTCTCTTGGATGCATTTTTACAAATTCAAGCCTATTCACCTCTCGATCTCTATTCGCCTCATTTTACCGTGACGTAGAGGTTTCAATAATGCAACCCCAGATGTAATACCTATATGCCATTCATAATTTTCAATAAACTACATTTTAAAAATCGACTTCAACCTCTTTCTTTGTAGTCAGTTAATAAACTAAAATCGTTTCCAAGTGTAACAAATAATTCTCTGAAAACACGGACAAATTAACATACATATAGGTCAAACTGCGAACCTCCTTCTTCTTTTGAAGTCGGTTAAATTATGGGGTCTTCATATTTTCATTCAATTGTACGTAGTAGTATTGTATTGAAAATATATGCCAAAACAATAATATTATGTTAGTATTAAATCGTGAATGAAACATAGATTAATAAGATAGTCGACCAATCAGCTGTTACCTTTCACAGTTTAAATTGCCAAATAATGGAAACATAACAAAACATAACCCCTTTAAATGCACTAAGAAAAGGCAGACTTTCACTGTAGAATCCAATTTTCGAAAAACCGAAAGCACCCTTCTAGTATCCCAGTAAATATTATAGTACCCAATCCGTGAATGGAGACCGAAACCTCAAGCTCTAGTTGCATCTATGCACTAATACCGACGAGGCAGTCTCAAACTTATTCTGTTGATCTTTCAAATTATTTACGCTTTTAACCTTGTCTTTTTTATGGAAAAAGCCGATAAACGACCAGAAGGATTACCTGATGGTGACACGGACACCTGAAACACCAAAGGCTTTACAAGTGCGTTACCGGCCTTATGGGGATTAGGAACTTGAGGGTTGTTGGGGATTCGGGAATTTGAGAGATTATGAATTATTTAGACTACCTATACATAATTGTTTTCTAATATTCGATTATTTTAAAAGTATGGCACTAGTCCGTTTTGCCCGCAACTTCGTCTGCATGGATTAGCGACTTAGGCAGTTTTTTATACCATAAAAAGCCTGTGCTATTCGGAAAAGATGCAGTTTTCTAATGATGAAAGAATCGGTACTGTTCTTGTGCGAAAAATCACAAACATACTTACATACAAAACACATGTTTCCTTTTTATAATATTACTTATAGTATTAATAAATGTACTCATTGAATCGTCATATCAAACTCACACTAAAATAATAGACTGTCTCGTTGGCCGAGTGGTCGCAAGTGCGACTGCCGGGCAAGGGGCCTCGAGTTCAATTCCCGGGTCGGGTAGTACAATTCCGTGCACAAATCTAGATTTGTGCAATGTATATGGCAATAGGCTCAACCCCTATTACATGGGACTCATAACATAAATAGTGAAAAGTGGGTGTTACATTGTACAGTGGCATAATGTACACCTCTGCCTACCCTTTCGGGGATAAAAGGTGTGATGTTATGTTATGTTATGTTACTACTAAATAATAATCTAATTATTTAGCGGATATTCTATGTGTCACTACCGACAACTTCGAGGAAAACCTGTAATGACATTATATATAATACATAAAAACTATTACCATAAGGTCTTACGGTCCAATGTGAACATATCCAGTGCGGTCTCAATTTCCTACATACCTTGATAGAAATAGTATTATTATGGTAACTGTTCGATAAGATCACGCATACGATAAGTGCTTATATTTAGGACAAGGATGTAAGTAGCC